GTGACATACTGACATACTGAAGCAGAGCATGATCCCCTCCCTTCGGAAACTGGGCTGCAGGGCAGTATTCCAACAGCCCCCACCAAGACATAAAGAACCCAGCGTTATGTAAACAGTGGATACAGTTCCCGGGGCAGCAATGGAGTTTTACAAGTGTGTTTGATGACAAACGTTTTATAAACTAGGCCCAGTTCGACGCTGAATTTGCACATCATTTGATACTGAAAGATGGAGCGGTCCCAGCTATAAAAGATCCCAGTCATGATTCAGAACTGCAGATGTTAAGTGAAACGGCATCAAATGTCTGTTTTGTTGGTATTCGGCGCCCAAGTGCTCGTCACTCTTTAGCTCCGCCCACGGCGCGCCTCCAGGAACTCAGCTTTTTCCGGAGAGAATCGTAAAGCTGTATCTTTCTTTTATCAATATGATAAAACTAAAGACTTTTTGGAGATATGAAGGATTCAGTACTACTCTATAGGTAGTCAAGATTAACATGAGATTGGGTGAAACTCTGTGTGTTATGCCGCCTTTAACGTTTTACTGCAGAAGCCGAGAAGCGCCCTTGTTGTTTTTGAACAGAAGCTGATAAGTCAATTTTAGCGAATCAGCGCGCTGTATTCAGGTCAGGTGACAAGGCTACTTTCACTTTGAAAAGACGTGCTAGCTGAGAGTAGTTTCAACAAAGCTGACTAAAAGTGATCGAGGATGGATAATTTAGATGAACTTGATGAATCTGTGATATCTTCTTCAGGGCGAAAAAGGAAAATAAAAGCTGAAATGTTTTCACAGAAGTTTGCAAAAGCAGCGTGTTACAATGATGAGGGAAAAGCTCTGTGTATTGCGTGTAATCACATCCATACAGTTTATGATCACAACAACAACGTTTGTCAGGCATCTACATTGTCATCGGAGGAGATTACAAAATATATATATATATATATATATATATATATATAATTAAATTTTTTAAATTGGTGTCCCATCCAAAACTTGCAACAAATTGTGTTATCATGAGGCTGGTCATTTAGCAATTTGATTGCAGAAACATATTTTCCACAGCCCTATTCCTGTTCCTGTGCAAAATGTGAGAATAATTCAAACATATCATATCTGAAATATATAATAAATTGTAAATCACTCTGAAAATGACAAGCGTGAGCTACATAGTAATTCTTTGAGCACTTTGTGCTCTTTCTGTTTATTTTTTGGGTTGGATTTGTCTACAGACGAGCCCTTAATTAAGTATGTCACTCATCTCTGGGCTGAAATCTCCTCCGAATACTGAATCAAAAGTGTGTTCGTTTCATAACTAAACAGCTTTCATTAATCCAGACCTGTCAAACCTTTTTAATCTTCTGTCTCTCAACACAATTAAATAGAGGTGCATCAGGATATTAAATACTTAAGCTCAGTCATTTACTCTCCAGAATAGAGCTGCAAATCTGCCTGAAAGTCACTATTCACGGCTGTCTCAGTTTGTACCATTGCTTCATCAATGACTGCTTGTTTGGACATTTTAAACTTCCAACTTCATTCTGTTTCAATGATTTATCACACACATGCTGATCCATACATCCAAACATAATTCGAGACCATGCTGTTGACTTACATCTGCAGTTTGTGCAGTATTTTGAATATTGTGTGTTGCTCATTTTCTTTAGACATGCTTTTATGTTTATGCTTTGTAAAGTGGAGGACTGGCTAAAACCATTGCATAGAGTCAAATTATTATTATTTTCAGTAGTAGTAACTTGGCAAATTTTATGTCATGACAGGTCATGTGTCTTTTTAATAAAAACAAAAAGAAAAAAAAAAGATTTTCATTAAAAAAAAGAAGTGCACTTTTTATAGTCTTTTTGGATAATTGTACATTTTTAATAGCATGTAGTGCTAAATGTAACTATTATACTACTGTTCTAAATTTTGAGGTTGGTAAAATGTTTCTGAAAGAAGTCTCACCAAGGCTGCATTTATTTGATCAAAAATACAGTAAAACTGGTAATACTGTGTATTATTATTATTACAGCTTAAAATAATTGTTTTCTATTTGAATACATTTTCAAATTTAATTTAGTCCTCTGATGCAACGCTGAATGACAGCATTCATTTAAAATAGTCACTTTACTGTCACATTCGATCAATTTAATGCATCTTGGCTGAATAAAACTATTTATATCTTTAAAAAACATACTGACCCCAACTTTTGGCACAACATGATGTAAACAAATAATGCTTCATACACTATCGTTCATGACGCAATATTATGTCAGACATATTTGCATTACACCGGCTCGTCACCAGTAGTGTTATATAGCATATTTTATGTTTACCTGCGAATACAATTATCTTACCTGTTGTTAACAGGATGCTCCAGTGTTTAACTAATCACCTGTCTAAATGAAAAGTGCGCATCATTGATCATTGTTCTCGCTAAAAATATTTTCTCGTACCATATGCATCTATAGCACTCCTCGCTGTCATTCAAACAGGAAAAGTGATTGAGCGCATCCATTATGTCTAAGACCCTGTCCACACGGAGACGCGTTTAGCTGTATACGCATACATTTTGTATCGTATAGGCATTTCGTCCACATGGATCTGGCGTTTTGGGAGAGTGAAACCGATATTTTTTGAAACCGGGTCCCAGAGTGGATAAATCTGAAAACGTCACTCTTGCGTTTTCATGTGGACAGCGAATCCATATATTTTCTGAAACGATGACATCATCAGCCCACGTCTCGCCCCTAGTCAGACACAACAAAACAAAAACATGAACAAACACTGCATGATTGTCTTTTTTATTAACTAACATTAACACAGATTAATAAATGTATTGTTCCATGTTCGTTTGTAGACCGCGCTCAAGGTTTATGCACATAGTCCAAGTCTTCTCCGTTTTTAGCGCATCTCTGTGGCAGAATTACAGCGCCACATACTGGTCTGGCATGTATACTACATCGTTTTGTGTCGGTTTCGTGGTTTCGTGTGGACGCAGATATTTCTTGAGACGAGGGGGAAAAAAAGGAAAAAAACTCTGGCTTCGTGTGGACGTAGCCTAAATTAAAGGGGTCATATGATGCGATTTCAATTTTTCCTCTCTCTTTTGAGTGTTTGCTGTGTTTCGTTGTGAAAGCGAAACTACTTTGTTTGGTCTTCCAAAAGAGGACACGACTACAAATCAGTGGTTAAGTTGTATTTACAACACTGTTCCAGAACAGTTCAACCCAAATATTCAGATGTGTGCAGCACATTTTATGGAGGATTGTTTCCTGATCCTGGGAGAGTAGACTGCAATGCCGGCTGTTCTGACTCACAGACTGTAAGTAGGTTTTTTGTATTTAAAGAGTTTTTATATTTTATATATTTAAAGCGAGTTTTTTGGGCAGTGTAGAGTAGGGCTTGTTGTTTGTAATTTCTCCGATCACAAATGCAGACATGGTTTTATGTTTACGCGGCGCAATGCAACGCAACACGTAAAAAGTACAAGTCATCATAATCCATAATTATGTCCCCACTGGATAAAACGAATGCCTCGTTTATAATGGGTTTTCATGTTTTTGAATCCTCGCTCCGGCCTGACAGGGCATCATCACAATGTGGTAAGGGGCGTAACATTTCCGTCACATGCTTGAGGTATTCGGCCAATCACAACGCACTGGATAGCTGGCCAATCACAGCACACCTCGCTTTTTCAGACCGATGAGCTTTGTAAAAATGTATGCGTTTCAGAAAGGCGGGGCATAGAGGAGAAACAATAATGTACAGTATGTGGAAAATAATGTTTTTTTTTAACCTTAAAAACTTTTAAGGTTAACCTTTAACCTTAACCTTTTTGTAATTTCAGTGCTTATCTCCATGAATGAGAGTGGAATATTTAATTGCAAATGCATATCGAAATGAAAACAGTTTCAAATCGTTTACTTCATTACTTTTCTCACTCCAAATGAGTTCATATGCATGGTCTAGTACGGTGCGTATATATTTATGCCAAGTATATTTTTTTATAAATCTGGATATGTGCATGGAAAACTGCTTACGCATATTTTTATGCCATTTTGTGCGTACGCAACATTTATAAATGAGACCCTTGGTCTTTTCATACGGCTTGAAACAATCACTGTAAACACATTTTTTTTTTATTATTGTAAAGAAAACTAAATTTGAAAAAGAATATACTAGTTCACTACTTCAAAATTTCATGTTTCTTTGTAATTATTTGTGAAATTTACTAGCAATTCCTGAGTGAAAACAGTTTCAAAGTAAACTTTTTTCAATAATCATATGGACTACTGTTTTTTTTTTTTTTTTATAATTTACCAATTGTATGTAAAACAGCAGTATGTACATTCTGTTAAATATCTCCTTTTATGCTTCATGGATAAAAATGAAGATTCACTTCACATGTTTTTAAAAGAGTTCTGATTTTGCTACTCACTGTGATCTTTACTCTGTCCCGCAGCAGCGCCCACGCTGGGCTGTGGTGTTACTGGAACGGGCATCAGGGCCTGGCGGATGGCCCTCTCCCAGCCCTTGGCCACCTCCAGCCCCACGCCACCGGCAGCCAGCGCAGGGTTGTGGATGTGGAGGTGGGGGCCGCCGGTGTTCTCCCCTACGTAGTACACCATGGTGGCGGTGATGACCTCGAAGCAGTGTGGATTGCCCCCCAGGGCTAAACTACTGAAGTCACGCGCAACCTCCACCTGCAAGATCTCTGACAGGGGAATCTCCTGTGGGTCAGACAATGAGTCAGAAATTTAGACGCTGACTCAGTGACAGCTAGATAAGATCGTTTAACCAATTAAACAACCCCGCATTTGCTCTTTGGGTCTGGAAATGAGTCATTCAATTAATCCACGTGATGTTGAATTAAAACGTCCAGTCCAGTTGAAAATTCACCTCACGGAGTTCATCAACTCTATGGTGTCAAAGTGACCAGGATCTCACTGATGAGAAGTAAAGGACAGTCGCTTTCCAAGTCCATGTGGTTCCTCCAGGTTCAACGAGATACTCTCAAATGTTCCTTATCACACATATCAAAAATAGCACTGTCTGCGAATGCAGCCCAAGCTTGCAGTCTAGGGTTAAGCTTCAATCTTCACTGACGATGCAAAGCCTAATGTGCCAAGTCTGATTATGACAGTCTCTTAAGAGTCCACCTTCTGCCCAGCCCCCGAACTTGCTCTCAGATGAGACAGGAAAAACAGTAGCTGTGGCCAATCAGCGCTCTGAATATGAGATGAAGTGCTTGTGGTTTGGTGGGTGAATCATGTGACCCAACCCTATGAAGAGCTCCATGATTACAGGGCAGCACTCGTGTGCATACGTGTATGAGTGTGTAGGCAAGTCTTACGCTAGCCACCGATACATTATGTAGGAGGTGGTCATACTTAAGGGGGTGGGCTGTGGTTATCCTGAGAAAGGCCTGGAACCCCCTTACCCAAAAACCAAAAGTACAGGGCTTCTATCTTCAAAAGAGAACACTATGATTTCCAAATGTGCAAATCTGACTGGTTCTGTGAAGTTATAGATGAAAATCAAACACACGATCATGTCTTACACTATACTTTAAGTATAAAGCATTGGTTGCTTTGGGAATCATATACTTTACTCATTGTGCTGAGAAATGTGTTTTTCTTATTGACTACCGCACAACTGATTTGATTGAGAAAAATTGAGAACTTTACAATAAAGCGAAGGACAGAAATGGAGATGGATTTTTAGTAACAAACTGTCATTCTTTAGAATTATGCAGTGCTTAAGTAATAGTGAATCTAACAAAGCCAAATAAGCTTCAAAATTTCAAAGGAGTATCGGTTTTAGAATTTAAGATCCAAGCGGAGCGCCAAGCTGATAATAAAGTGGTGTGTAAAACAGTCTTAAACACACCCTGAAGTCTCACCCAGGGTGGTGAGGTTTCCTGACTTTAGTTTTACAGCTGGGAACACTGGAGCTGCTACATAAACATTCACAGAAACACACAAGTTCTTAAAAAAAACAAAATGAGCATTATGGCAATATGACCTTCACATCCCCAGATGTGTGAACGTTACTGAAGATATAACCATGGCTCATTTTCCAGTGGGAGCCAAAATACATACACTACCATTCAAAAGTTTGAGGTCGGTATGATTTTTTTTCTCTAGTGCCCACCAAGTCTCTACTGCCCACCAAGGCTGTGTACATTTAATAAAAAATAAGGTAAAAACAGTAATATTGTAAAATATTACTACAATTTAAAAGAACTGTTTTCTATTTGAAAATATTTTACAAATCTAATTTTTTCCTTAGATGCAAAGCTGAATTTTCAGCATCCTTACTCCAGTCCTCAGTGTCACAGAAAGTTTGGACATACTCTATATTAAGTGTCTAAACTACTATGTACAAGCATTTCAATTAATCTTTTGATACATGTGTGTATACATGTATTAATCACTTAAAAATGTAATTTTAAATGGTTGTGCACATATTTTAAGCTGTCCACTTATATTACAACATAAAATGTAAATGTACATAAACATACTCTGAGCACACATGTGCTCAAAATTATTCATACCCTTGGTAAAGATTAAAGAAGGCTGTAAAATAAGTCTGCATTGTTAATCCATTTGATCTTTCATTCAAAAATTAAAAAAGAAACAAAAAAATCGACCCTTAAATTGTAAAACAAGTGAAAGTGGGGGAAATGTCATTGTGAAATCATTATTTTTCGCAAATAACAATGTCCACAATTATTGGTACCTAATTCTTATGGGTATTTCCATTTTTTAGCACACCAGGGTGACTAGGAACATGAAATTATCCAGCCTTGGCTTCCCGTTTCACAGGAATATAAACATGAGTGGAACACAAAGGCCAGTTTCCCTTAATCATTGATCACAATCAGTAAAATCAAAGAATATATTTCTGATGTGCAGCAAAAGATTGTCGAACTTCACAAATTAGAATACGGCTGTAAGAAAAGAGCTAAAGCATTGAAAATTCCCATTTCCACCATCAGGGCAATAATTAAGAATTTCCAATCAACAGAAAATGTTACAAATCTGCATGGAAGAGGACGTGGGTCTATTTTGTGTTAAAGCAAGGCGAGGAGGATCATTTGAGTGGCCAAAGTCTACATATCTTGTTCAGATAGATGGCGTCATGGATTCTATCAAATACCGACTGATAAAAAATTAAAAACTGACTGTCCACACTAGAAATCTTATAATAGGCCATGGTTGGATCTTCCAACAGGACAATGATCCACAAACAATCAAAACAAAAATGGGTAACTGAGAACAAAACCAAGTTTCTGCCATGGCTGTCCCAGTCCTCTGAGCTGAACCCAAAAGAAAATGAGTAGAATGACCTGAAGAAAAGCAGCATCAACATGGAGCTAGGAATCTGAAGGATCTGGAGAGATTCTGGACGAAGGAATGGTCTTTGTTCTCTTGTCAGATGTTCTCTAAACTCTTCAGGCGTTATAGGAGAAGACTCAGAGCTGTTATCTTGGCAAATAGAGGTTGCAAAAAGTATTGAATAAAAGGGTATGATTAATTGTGACCAACGTGTATCAGAAAAAAAAACATTTCATAATGAGATTTCCATCCCATTTTAAATTATTTTTCTCCAATGAAAGGTTAGGTTTTTGTAAATTTTTTAAATAAAATATATATATTTTTAATTATCACAGCCTTTTTTGATCATATTTACCAAGGGTATGAATAATTTTTGAGCACAACAGTATATATACATATACATATATATCGCGATTAATCGCATCCAAAATAAAAGTTTTTGTTTACATAATATATGTGTGTATACTGTGTATATTTATTATGTATATATAAATACACACACATGCAAGTATATATTTAAGAAAAATATGTTATGTTTATATATTAAATATATTTATGTATAATATAAAATCTAAGAATATAAATATATAAATGTATATACATGTAAATATTTTCAATATATACTGTATGTGTGTGTGTATGTGTATATATATATATATATTCATTAAATCATTAGATCATTAAAATGATCTGCCACCAAATTTGCTGTACCGCTATGAGCAAACCTGTACAAACACATACTGTATGTGTTTGATACAACACAGAAATATAGTGATGCTATTCCAAGTCCAGAATAAAATGATTCTATTTTTCAATACAGTAATACAGTTGCATTACCCATATAACTACACAGTGCATTTGATACACTTCCTGCCTCTTACTGAATGGCTTTTAGCTCAAGCTGAAGCAGAGGAGGAGGGGTATTCTGTGGTACTTGCCAGACACCTCAGCAGTGAATTTGAGAGGGGAAAATACTACTGCCTTTAGCTGTGTGAAATGCTCTAGATGAGCAATGAATTATAATGTTTTGACATTACAAAGATCAAAGGTGGACTGCAGCATAATCAGTTTCGTTAGAAGTATATGAGCAATATTATGATTTCTGGGGTTATTCTAACGGTTGTTCTTGATGACATTAAAATATACACATGAATGTCTTTTTTTTTCATCAACAGAGAATATCACTTAAACATGAACCTCAACAATTGTTTTAGTAAATATAAGTAGAATGCTTATAACAGAAAATAGAAGTAGAATACTTATAATACCTACTTTGTAATATTTGGCTCCCGCGTCATTCTGAAACAGAGTCAGACTCTTGCTGTCCAGTCTCCAGTAGTGTCTCTTTCTCTGAGGACAAAACAGGTTTGACTAATTTCAAAACTCAGGAAAGTTGTGAGAAAACACACATTGATATAAAGGGCATTTAATGCAAATTAATTATGATGCCATCAAGATGTATAAGAGGTCTTAGTGTAAGGTTTAGGCTACTTATTATATGAAACTGCATTTTGTCTTCCAGAAATAGAAGATCGTGCAGGTTTGAAATTTCACAAAAATGTTACATCGGATTATATAATTTAATAAATCATAGCCATTATTTATCTGTCTTAAGAGTAACTGCATTGAAACAATAGCGCTAAACATCAGTATTCAACTACATATTTATTTTGCAACAACAAAAATGACTTAAAATGACACAAAGAGAGCTCTGGGAAACTGTATTTGAAACCAGTTTGTGACATAAACTGTCCAAACAAACCAATTCACTAAAATGAATCAGCAAAAATGAAGCAATTTTGTCACACTACACCACAAAAAAAAAAAGAAGCTTTTTAATGGAAAAGTTACCATATACTATCATGAAAGTAGCAGTTGTAGCGAGTAATTCTACATCATTTTAATACAGTTATGCCCTTAGCAGATGCTTTCTTATCAAAGTGCATAAACCGTGAAGATAAATAAACAAACGTTTGAATATGAAATAAAATCTCACAAGATTGTCTCGACTGGTGTAGTGCACCATCCATCCTTCTTTGACCACAGTGGAGCTCCTCCTCTTGGTGTGTTTGACAGATTGGACCACACGCATCAGGGGGATATTGGTGCTGGTAGAGGGGCTTAAAGAAGATATGAGACATGGCAGTGATTGATAGTGCTGATGTGGATCACTGATCAAAAAAAATTTAACTCTGAAGGTTTGACTCACCCAAAAATGAAAATTCTGTCATCTTTTACTCACCCTCAAGTTACTCCCAACATGTACAGTATGACTTTCTAACCAAACCAAACCAAAGTTGTTGGTCCCCACTGACTTCCACAGTATGATGAACTACTATGTTAGTAAAACCAGAAACTGGTTGGTTACCCACATTCTTCTAAATATCTTCTTTTGTCTTCAGCAAAAGAAAGAAACTCATAGGTTTGTAAAAACTTGAGAGTGAGTAAATTATGACAATTTTCATTTTTGGGTGAACTATCCCTTTGTGTCTAAAAATATTTTACATTTAGCATATTTTACATGCTTTTATCCAAAGTGACTTACAGATGAAGACAATATAAACAAATCGAAACAACAAAAAAGCAACAATATACAAATGCTGTGACAAGTCTCGATTAGTCTAATGCAGTACACATAGGATTTGTTTTATAATAAATAAAAATAACGAAGAGTACACACAATAGAAGACAGAGCTAGTGTTAGAAGTTATTATATCTTTATAATAAACAAAAAGAAAACAAGTAGATAGAACAGAAAAGGAAAACAAAATGCTAGTGTTAGAGGGTCATTTTTTTAAATACATAAATAGAAAACAAGTATATAGAATAGAAATAGAAGTTTTTTAATAAACAAAAGAAAAGTAGATAGTATAGAAACAGAATAGAGAGTGCTAGTGTTAGAGGGTCAAGTTTTTTTAATAAATAAAAAATAGATAGAATAGAAATAGAATATAGATTGCTAGGGTTTGAAGGTCAAGTTTTTAAATAAATAAACAAGATAGAATAGAATTAGAATTGAGTGCAAGTGTTAGAGGGTTGTTTTTAATATATAAATTGAAAACAAGTAGATAGAATAGAAATAAAAATAGAGATTTAGTGTTAGAGGGTCAAGATTTTATTTTAATAAATAAAATGAAAAGTAGACAGAATAGAAATACAATAGAGAGTGCTAGTGTTAGAGGGTCAAGGTTTTTAATAAATAAAAAAGAAAACAAGTAGATAGAATAGAAAAAGAATAGAAAATGCTAGTGTTAGAGGGTTGTGTTTTTTAAATAAATAAAAAGAAAAGTAGATAGTATAGAAATAGAACAGAGTGCTAGTGTTAGTGGGTCAAGTTTTTTAATAAATAAAAATAGATAGAATAGAAATAGAATAGAGAGTGTTCATGTTAGAAGGTCAAGTTTTTTTAATAAATAAAAAGAAAAGTAGATAGAATAGAAATAGAATAGAGAGTTCAAGTTTTAGAGGGTGAAGCTTTTTTAATAAATAAAAATAAAAGTAGATAGAATATAAATAGAATATAGATTGCTAGTGTTAGAGGGTCAAGTTTTTTAATAAATAAAAAGAAAAGTAGATATAATAGAAATAGAATAGAGTGCAAGTGTTAGAGGGTTGTTTTTAATACATAAATAGAAAACACGCAGATAGAATAGAAATAAAATAGAGAGTTAGTGTTAGAGGGTCAAGATTTTTTAATAAATAAAAGGAAAAGTAGACAGAATAGAAATACAATAGAGAGTGCTAGTGTTAGAGGATCACGTTTTTTAATAAATAAAAAGAAAACAAGCACATAGAATAGAAATAGAATAGAGAGTTCAAGTTTTAGAGGGTCAAGCTTTTTAATAAATAAAAATAAAAGTAGATAGAATATAAATAGAATAGAGAGTGTTAGCGTTAGAGGGTCAAGTTTTTTTAATAAATAAAAAGAAAACAAGCACATAGAATAGAAATAGAATAGAGAGTTCAAGTTTTAGAGGGTCAAGCTTTTTTAATAAATAAAAAGAAAAGTAGACAGAATAGAAATACAATAGAGAGTGCTAGTGTTAGGTCAAGTTTTTTAATAAATAAAAAGAAAACAAGCAGATAGAATAGAAATAGAATAGAGAGTTCAAGTTTTAGAGGGTCAAGCTTTTTTAATAAATAAAAAGAAAAGTAGATAGAATATAAATAGAATAGAGAGTGTTAGCGTTAGAGGGTCAAGTTTTTTTAATAAATAAAAAGTAAACAAGTAGATAGAACAGAAATAGAATAGAGAGTGCAAGTGTTAGAGGGTCAAGTTTTTTAATAAATAACAAGAAGAACAGATACAATAGAAACAGGATAGAGAGTGCAAATGTTAGAGAGTCAAGATTTTTTAATAAATAAAAAGAAAACAAGTAGATGAAATAGAAATAGAATAGAGAGTGCTAGTGTTAGATGGAAGAAATCTGTTTTTAGTCATTTCAGCTGCTCGGATCGAGTTGGGCAGGCCATTCCACCAGCAGGGAACAGTTAAGGTAAAAGTCAGTGGAAGTAATTTTGTGGTTTCACTTGCAGAACGCAAGCTTCTGGAGGGCACATACATCTGAAGTAGTAAATTTAGGTAAAGGGGTGCAGAGCCAGTGGTTGTTTTGTAGGCATTTTATAATTATCCAGAGCATATACCTGATGGTCTTCACAGGTTCTTCATCCTTCTCACGGTCCATGAAGGGGGAGTCCATAAAGAAGATCTTGTCTTCTGGAGTAGTAGGTTCCTCTGAATCGTCCAGACCACGACTGCTATCGCTGTTCACATCACTGCTGTCTACGTCCATCGTGGTATCAGAGTCAGGACCTGGGCTGGCCGGCTCTGAAAGAAACATACAGTAAACCTACGTAACGATGTTTCTATTAGTAAGTTTTTCATTTTAGTTGGATGTGGCTGAAAACCATGACCATACCTCCATTGAAGACTCCAAGACAGTCTTTCGGTACCTTTGAAGCACATCGCTTGTGGCAATTGAATTTACAGTCTGGTGAAGAAAACACCTCATGATTACTTTTTTTATACATTTGTGTAGAATTATTTTCTATATTGGAAAGCGTAAAGGAAGATGGCGATACTCACCTTTGCACTGCATGCCCTGGCGGAAAAGCCCTTTGAGCAGCCGTTTGCAGTACTGACAGATGGTGGGGCGGGTGTAGGTGTGAATGACAAAAGTGTGAGGGACCTTCACCCGCCCCAGCACCATCTTCTCCATCCAGATTGGCCGACCGCTCCATGACGGTATCCGCTTACCTGGCTCCTGATGGGGGCGCTGCTGCAGTGGAAAACAATGTAACAAAAAAGTGACTACAGCATGCATACTGCAGACCACAGAGATAGTATGAGCAGTATGACAAGTAAGATTTTGTTTTAAATTAATACTTTTAGGATCCATTTAACTAACAAGTGACTGTAAAGATTTTTATAGCTAGAACATTTTCCATTTCAAATAAATGCTGTTAAAAATATCATGGTTTTTACAAAAACATTAAGCAGCTCAACTGATTTCAACACTGATAATAATAAAAAAATATTTCTTTAGCAGCAAATCAATATATTAGAATGTGACACTGAAGACTGGTGTAATGATGCTGAATATTCAGCTTTTCATCACAGGAATCAATTACATTTAACAATATATTCAAATAGAAAAGTGTAATTATGAAAAGTTTAATTATATTTCACATTGTTATTATTATTATTATTAATAATAATAATACACAAATAAATGCAGTTGATGAACATAAGATACTTCTTTCAATTAAAAGAAATCTTACTGATCCCAAACCATTAAACGTTAGTGCTTTCATAGTAGATGTACATGCAAGAATACACAATACAGCAGCCATCTATATCGATCTATATGAATGTAACACAGAGGAAATTATCTTTAATGATTCAGTTTTTCACAGCACACATTACTTTACTGTATTCTGAAATGACAGCTCAGAGTTCAAATAAAAGCTGCTCAACCACAGAGGATTTCACACAGACCCTGACCTCGACAAATTATTGATCTGACCTTTGTATAGGGGTCAAAAACAAAAGAACTTGCTTTCCTTTCTTATGTTATACTGAGCTCATGTGGAGAGCATTTCATTAGGTCTAAAAAGCTGTTCAGATGTAAAGAGCTAAGTTTGTGATATTTCACAACATTTTAAATGCAACTGCATGGTTTGGCAGGGACAGCAAATACAATGTCAGGCCTCGAGAGGAGTTTATTTGAAATAAAATAAGCATAACATACAAGCAAAGGCAGAGTGTCCAAGAGAGATATTGTTTGTGAGACAACTAAAAGGACACCATGTACTTGCCATGTTTGGGTTTGGACTGATATGAAGTGACCGCTCTAAAACAAAGCATATCTTTCAAGCCATTTTGTTAAATATAAACTATAAATTAATAACAAGTGAAGCTTAAAAAGTATTTGGATATTTATGTCACATCCAAAGAGTATGCAACTCCACTGCTTTATACTAGACCTCAAATTATACTAGACGATATGTGAGCCTGGACCATAAAACCAGTCATAAGGGTAATTTTTTAGATCTGAAAGCTGAATAAATTAGCTTTCCATTGATGCATGGTTTGGTAGGATAGGACAATATTTGGCTGAGATACAACTATTTGAAAATCTGGAATCTGAGGTTGCAAAAAAAAAAATCTAAATACTGAAAAAATCGCCTTTGAAGTTGTCCAAATGATGTTTTTAGCAATGCATATGAATAATCAAAAATTAAGTTTTGATATATTTACGGTAGGAAATTTACTAAATATCTTCATGGAACATGATCGTTACTTAATATCCTAATGATTTTTAGCATAAAAGAAAAATCAATCATTTTGATCCATACAATGTATTGTTGGCTATTGCTGCAAATATACCCCAGCGACTTAAGACTGCTTTTGTGCTCCAGGGTCACATATAATCTCAGATCTAACTTAACCATTTTGGTTGATATTCTTAAATAAATACTTTGGTTAAAATTTGGTATACTTTTAAAAAGCTTAATGAAATGAACGTATGAAATCAGTTTACACAGGTAAGCGAACAGAATAATCACAGGTGCAGTTATACAAACAATGAAAGATCTACTGTCATATCATTTAAAACCTGTAAATAAATAATGCAAACGTTGAATAAAATCATTCCTTACCTCTTCCAGGCTCACGACAGCATGCTCTGCTGGAGCAGGACGAGGAACAGACAGTGACGGGCCGGGCAGAGACACATTAGAAAGACGTCTTTTCCTTACACCGCTACAGTTGTTAGGGATCTTAAAGGCGCATCGTTTGTGATAGTTCAGGCCACATCCTAAAAATCCACAAAGAACGCTTTAGTGCTCAGGATTAGTGTCAGAAGAAAAAAGCCTTGGATTTGGTGTAAAGCAAGATCAGAATTTTATTAGAGATAAGGTAAATGGTCAAGAAGATAAAAATCAAGCATACTGTTTAAGGACTGAAGATAAGATGATACACAGATGAACACAAGGCGAATGCCATCAAAAGTTTTACTCCTAAACTCCAGCAGAGGGCTCCCCCTTCTTTATTCAGACTCGCAGACATATGGGCAATAAAGCATGTTTAGATACCTACTCAAAAACCAAATGAATCTCCTGAGGACTGGGTGGGGATTTTTTTTTACTTTTCTAAATCACATTCACAAGAGTTTAAAGCGTAAAGTGCTTTAGCATGCCTCTCTATATGAACAGCTTGCATCCATCAGTGTGGCTTCTTACAACTGGAGCCCATAATCTTCATGCAGCTTTTGAATGCCACATCCAGTGCTTGGCAGAAACACTGGGTTCCATTCAAACAGCCCCTGATTTCAACTTCAAAGACGAACTGACGGCAGCTCTGACACATCGTGCCGCATGTCTGAATCCATCGCCTCCAGTCAGACTCGATCACGGATCTTTAAAGCAGTCTCAGACTCACTCGGAACCACAACAATACCTTGATTCAGATTCATTTACAAAGTGCTCTTTTTGCCGTTGTTGTTTTAGCCAGTCAGTACTTCATTATGTAATTTTAATTTACTATACTTCAGTTTTACTGAAATGGCAATATACTGTAAAAAAAATGGTGAAAAGTTTGAAAGAATTCAATTTCAAACGTTTTAAGACTCTTTTTCTGCTCTCCAAGACTGCATTTATTCAAGTAAACTTACAGTAATACTGTGAAATATGATTACAATTTAAAATACTTGGTTTCGTATAAATACATTTTAAAATGTAATTGATTCCTGTGATCAAAGCTGAATTTTCAACATCAATACTTCAGTCTTCAGTGTCACATGATTCAGATGTCAATGACTGCTTAAAAAACATTATTATTATTATCAATGTTGAAAAAAGTGCTTAATGCTTAATATTTTTGTGGAAACCATGTTACATTATCATTCAAAAGTTTGGGCGAAGATAAAAAAAATATATGTTTTTATTCAAAAAGGATGCATTAAATTGATCGAAAGTGACAGCCAAGTCATTTATAATGTTACAAAAGATTTAGATTTCATGTAAATGCGGTTCTTTTTACCTTTCAATTCATCATAGAATCCTGAAAAAAAAAAAGGTTTCATGATTTCCACAAACATATTAAGCAGGAAAATCTGTTTTCAACACTGATAATAAGGACCATACTGTACTTAAGAAGTCTTTTATTCTCACTAATGCTGCATGTATTTGATCAAAAATAAAGTGAAAACAGTAATATTGTGAAATGTTATTATAATATTTTCATTGTATTATATTTTCAAAATTAATTTCATTCTATGACTGCAGAAATCATTCTGATATGATTAATGCAGGACTTGGTGCTTAATTCCTATTGATATTCAGTTACTAAAAAAGAAAATAAAAAACTGAATTATTCCAAACTTTTGACTGGTAGTTTAAATGTTTTATATTATGCATGTATCTTTTTAACTGTTATGTAACTCGTGGTCCTGATACATACTAGAATCAAACTGTTATTTATTTGCTTACTTGCTTACTTAATTTTGCCAAAGCAAGTGAATTAACAAAATAAGACATTATAGTATGTTATAAATATTAAAAATAATGCAAACTTTTTAACGCACAAAAAGGGCCATGAACATATACACCCAGCAATCACAATTGTTGAGATTGTGAAGATTCTCATGCACAGCTGACAGAAAAACAGAAAAGTGTACTGTTGACAAAAATGGTGCTATATAGCACTAAAAGCGGTTATTTGGCTTGTAATCATAGGGGAACCACTTTGAGTGCTATTTAGCACTTATTTTTACAGGTGATATATAGCACTTTCGTCAAATGGTGCTATGTAGAATCATAAGAGGTGCCATATAGCACTTTTTCTCAACAATGGTGCAGCAATCATAACTCATCCATGGCTCCCAGCATGCATTGCGACATGAATAAATTATGCAGCTGCATTGTCTTAGTATTTTCTTTTATTCTTACTATTTGCTTACTATTGTGACTTTTTACTGCCCTGTTTTGTGATGTTCAAAAATCATATCAAAATTATCAGAATATTTTGTCACCATTGCTGAGATTCACATGCTGATTCTTCATGTCTATGAGTGACAGAATTGAAACCTCTTTATAACCCATAATTCTAAAAGTGCTTTATACAATTTTCTCACATCGTCATGTTGTATCATAGAACTGCAATAATATAAAACTCACAAAAGCACTACAGATTTTGATCAAATGCACCCAGAGACTCAGACGCATGAAATGATTTTACCATAAGTTCCTTGTCATCCCATATGTGCTTTATAAACACTATTATAACAGCCAAAGAGAAACTTATTTTAACTTAAAATTAAAGTCAAGGGTCAAGAGGCAACTAAAGCAAACACTATTCACCAAAACGGTAAGTTGAAAAAAAAAAAAAACATCTAAACCTTAATTCTCAATAAAGAACTTCTGTTTTAGATACTCTATAATAAAGTCTAACTGGTTAGTAATGTGTGAAGTTGGTTTTGCTGTTTGTGGAGAGGTCCTTTTTTTCTGAGGTCAAAGGTCTCATGTGGGGGCCCTGGAATATTTCAATATGAGGGGCAAAAAAAAAATTACATCTTCAAGAAATAGACTTTATTTTAATGTTGTTTTAACCCTTTCCCCAACTAAACTAAGAGACTAAGAGAGAGTTAAAGAACCTTTAAAGAACTATACAGGGGCTTACAGGTTTTA